GGGAAAGAAAGATGTAACATGTACATGAATTGCTGACTGAATTTATAATAACAAGGGACTTTATCAGGTAGCGGGAGAATTCAAAGTATTAAAATATGTTTTCCTGTCTTTGAAGAGTTGTTTGCTTAGTTAATTTTATAATCTATTTATATTCAAATATATTTACTTGGCTTTCTGTATTTGAGGTTCATACGATCAATGTCTTCAGCTTTCCTTTAAGGGCCTACTGGGCCTGCTGAATTAGGGACTGATAGGCAATCGGTAGGCAGGATTAGAAATATGAAAAGAAGAACAGGGCTTAGAAAATGAAAGGATTTAACTTTCATTGGTAGTTTTAGCAGGGGAGAAGGGATAGTGAGTAGTGGTTATCAAAGACATTTCAAAAATTAGAACGTCAATTTTTATTCTTTCTGTTCCCTTAGAAACAGTATCTCGTTTTCTGAAAATGAAACGGATGATGAACCACTTTCATCCTTGTTTGAAAAGAAAGAGTGAGAAGTCCTTATAATTTTCTATTTCGTTTCACCAAGGGACGAGCGTAATCATTTTAACATTAAGCACAGAAAACTTCTGATGATATCAGTGATTTTAAGGGAGATTCTTGCTTTGCCGTGGTTACTGGATTTTAAATTTAGAACTTTAATTCATACTTAATTGTGGTCATTGTTTTCAGTATCTTTATGTACTCAGGAGTTGTTAATAGATAAATCATAAAATTTTATGCCAGCAAATTCTGCCATAAAAGTGCATAGTATACTTTAGTCTTCTTGAACAAGAAATTACCTTTAGAAAAATTCATGTGTTTAGTTGCCTCTGAAAGTATTTTGGTATGAAAGACTTTGGGGAAGCAGGCTTCTAGCGTTCTATTTACAAATTTGTTTTTCCTTTAACAAGTTAATAGTAAGTATGTTACCTCAATATGTGACTGTTTTATAGAGTATTTATTTTATTTGAATTAAAAAAAGAAATATTTGCACTTGTAGAACACCATCGGGAGGAGAAACAGGATACTTTTGCAGAAAAATTAGTTACTCAAATCATAAAAAATCTTCAAGTGAAAATTTCTGATATCCATATTCGTTATGAAGATGATGTAAGTATTCCCTAATGGGTGAGTTTCCTTTTTTTATGTTTAAGTTATTTTGTTGTTAATTGACACCTACTCTACAGTGGCCATCCTATTAAATGCGAAGAGAGGGAAGGACATAGAGCCGAAGATGAAATAATCTTTCTTTTCTATAATGATAGTTGTAATTTGGAGTTCTTACTGTTGAGTATTTGGTCACATTTTCCTAAAATGTTCAAGCATCAGATAACGAAGGAAAATGCCTTGAAAGTTATCAATTTAGCAGTTTATGTATGTGTGTGTATTTTTAAAAAATTTTTTTTGAGGTTTTTGACATAGAGCACATGTGCTTTCTGGAGAGAGACAGGGAAAGGGAAAGTGAGAAATCAACCTTCACCCCTGGGGAAATGGTCATGCTGCAGTCTCTTTTCTTTCATTCTCCTTTCAGGAATTTAGACGTTCAGGCACATGTGCCTGGTGTGATTTTCAAGGTACTTAGTTTGGGACTCGTGCCATGGTTGACCTGTGGAATCCAGCACCTTAACCACCATGCCATCTGCTGGCCCCAGCAGCTATACATTTTTAAGATACTTAAATATGCTATATTTATCTCTTGGAATACTGGTCTAAGAAAAGTAGAACTAGATTTAAATGATTGTTTTATCTTAATTAAGTCATTTGTTCTCTTAAAACATAGTTTTTTGCTTTAAAGTACTATCATTTAAATCTTTTCTTAGCAAAAGATATTTTTGTAAACCAAAAATAAATACAGATACAGTATTGTGCAATAATAATGCATTAATACTTGATATTCTAATTTGTTTTAGGGAAAATATGGGAATAAAAGTTATTCTGGAAACCAGCAGATAGCATAATGGTTATATCACTGGACTCCCACACGGCTAACCATGGTTCGAGTCCCTGACCCGGTGGCTTAAAATTCACACTGGGCACATGTGTATGCGTGCCCAAGATCCCAAGAGGAGAATGGAGGAGAAGGGGTTGTGGTGTGGCCATCTTCCCTGGGGGGTGATTTTTCTCTTTCTGTCTCTCTGTCTCTGTCTCTCTGTAGCAGAAATCGCTCTTAAAAAATATTATTCTAAAAAATAGTAAAATGTTTTTGAGTTTGAAATAGAGAAAATGAACTTTCTCTAAGTTCAGTGAATATTGTCCAGCTACTGAAAATCTGAGTAAAATTTCCTTTTTCTCTTCTTTAGATTACAAATCGAGATAAACCGCTGTCGATTGGTATTTCCCTTCAAAATCTCAGCATGCAGGTACTTTGTTAAAAAAAAAAAAGAACCTTGTTTAATTATGGAGTGTAGGTAGTACTGATTACTGTTTATGTTTGCCAGCATCAGAAGTAGGCTTCTAGGATCTGGATGGTGGTGTACTGGTAAAATGCAGTATTCTACAAAGCTAACATGGGAAAGTTCTGGGTTCATGTCTGGAGATCTTCCCAAGTATGCTGAGTGTGGACACGCCCTTAATCTGGGGCCTACTGAAGCTAGGGGTGGGTTATGGCATTGAGACCCTATTGGGGTTCTGTTCATGTCCATCTCTATCTTTGTTTCTCTTGCTCATGGAAGAAATAAATAAATGAAAAAAAGAAAAAAGTATATGCACCAGTTGGTGGAGTGGAGGTTAAGGTGGCTAGATGCACATGGCTGACTATGCTATTTGAGTTCTAGATCCAGCAACTTGTAAAACATGCCAAGCCATCCCCCTTGGGGGATGCTTTCTCACTTGATGTTTCTCTCTCCCTGTCTCTCTCTGGAGAGAGCATTTGCTCTCTAGCAAAAAAAAAAAGTCTATAGAATTAGTGCAGAGGCATAAACTGGATTACAGTTGAGGGTCGATAGATTCACCATTTCAAAAAAGCAGTTGAAAATCAAATACAGTTTTCAATATGAAGACCTATTATTATTGATGATTATAATAATAGATACTGTTGTTGATTGCTTAAAAGAAATTTATTTCCTTGGGTCAGACAGGTGGCATGGTGTTTAAGGCGGCTAGATCCCACATGGCCAACTTCCCAGTTCTAGTTGCAGATCTGGCAGCTTGAAAAACACACTGGACATGCGTGTGTGTATGTGTGTGTGCATGTGTGTGTGTGCATGCGCCCATGCCCAAAATCCTTTGAGGAGAATGGAGAAGGGATTGCAGTGCAGCCATCTCCCAAGTGGGTTGCTTTCTTGCTTTCCCCCATCTCTCTCTGTTTCTCTCTAGTGAGTGCACATGCCTTCTAGCCAATTTTTAAACATGGTGTTTAAGGCGGCTAGATCCCACATGGCCAACTTCCCAGTTCTAGTTGCAGATCTGGCAGCTTGAAAAACACACTGGACATGCGTGTGTGTATGTGTGTGTGCATGTGTGTGTGTGCATGCGCCCATGCCCAAAATCCTTTGAGGAGAATGGAGAAGGGATTGCAGTGCAGCCATCTCCCAAGTGGGTTGCTTTCTGTCTCTCTCTCTGTCTCTTTGTCTCTCTCTGTCTTTCCAGCGAGCACACGCGCCCTATAGCAAAAAAAACCTCTTGAAAAAAAAAAATATATTTACAAATCTTCAGTGAGTACGAAATTAAAGTTAATGTTTTTTTTTTTCTGAAACTTTGGCAAGTCTGGAAGGGCATAAAGAAATAAATCATCCATGTTCTCATACTATTATTAATATTGTGGTATACTTACTTCCTGTATATATTTTTTTCTAAGAGATTTTTGCCATAGGGCATAGGTACTCGCCTAAAGCAGAGAGAGAACGTGAGAAGTCACCCCTCTTGGGATGCCACATTGCAGTCCCTTCTCCTCCATTTTCCTAGGGATTTTAGGCACACATGCTCATGTGCCTAGCGTGAGTTTCAAGCTGTCAAGTCTGGGACTCAAACCACAGTTGCCATGTGAGAGTCCAGCGCCACAACCACTGTGCCACTCACTGGCTCCTTCCTGTGTAATTTTTGAAATGGAGGAACTTAAAAAAAAATTGGAGCACTTTTTTCTTTTCCATAACAACCATCTACTGCCTGTTCTGTACCAACCAGTCTATCCCCTTATTGTCACTAATAGTGAAAGAAAAAAGATTATAAATGATAAACTTTTGTTAAGAAAAAAACAAATCAAAATCTTTTTTTGATATTGTCTGAAATAGTTCACTATAGTGTATATCTTTTAATTTGTATGTCATGAAAAAAAGCAGTTTGCCTAAAAGACTGACTAGCATCCAAAAAAAAAAAAAATTGCAGACCAGTATTTATTAAGACACAAATATATATATTTAAAATGTTTATAATTAAAACTTATTTGCCAAGATATAAATGTTATTTCTTTCTTTCTTTCTATTTTTTTTTTTTAATGATAGAGATTTTTTGCTATAGGGTACATGTGCTCACCAGAGAGACAGAGAAACAGAAAGTGAGAATTCATCCCCCAAGGGGGGATGGCCACTCTGCAATCCCTTCTCCTTCATTCTCCTCTCGGGATTTTGGGCTCACATGCACACGTGCCTAGCCTGAGTTTACACTGTCAGGTCCAAGACTTACACCGCAGCTGATGACATGGGTGTCCAGAAATGCAACCATTATGCCATCTTCTGGTCCCTAAATATTATTTCTTAAATAATAATTGTAATACTCCTTATCTTTAGTCCTTGTATCAGAAGGTATGGACAAAATGGTTGATAGACCATTTCTGTGGTAAAAATGCATTCTAAAGATACTTCCATATTGGGGCCAGCAGATGGCATAGTGGTTACATTGCTGGACTCCCACATGGTTGACCGCAGTTCAAGTCCCAGATCCATTGGCTTGAAAATCACACTGTGCATACATGCCTAAGATCTTGGGAGGAGAATGGAGGTGAAGAGGTTATAGTTTTGCTATCCTCCCTACGGGATGATTTTTCACTTTTCTTCCCACAGTCTCTGTCTGTCTCTCTTTCTCTCTGCCAAGTACATGTGCCCTAAGGCAAAAACCTCTTTAAAAAAAAGATACTTGGGACCAGCAGTTAGTGTAATGGCTATGTCGCTGGACTCCCATGTAGCAGACCGCGGTTTGAGTCCCGGATCCGGTGGCTTAAAACTCGCGGTGGGTGCTTGTGCATGTGTGCCCAAGATCCTGAGAGGAGAATGGAGGAGAAGGGATTGTGGCGTGACCATCCCCCCTGGGGGGGGTGATTTCTTGCTTTCTGTCTCTCTGTCTCTCTCTGGTGAATGCACATGCCCTATAGCAATAAAACCTCTCAAAAAAATAAAAGAAAAAAAAGATACTTTCATATTTGTACTAATATTCTAAAAAAAATAGGAACACATAGAAAATTATGAAGTATTTGCTTGCATTGAGGATGGTTGTGGAATTTGTCATGTTCTTTTTCCTAAATAGCTTTATAGGATTAAGCTGTTAGGGATAAAGTTTATAAATCTCTTTTGTTTTCTATTTTTACCCTTCCTTTCTCCTCCAGAGATAAACAGCCTGTTTTTAAAGGTTTTTTAAAAATAATTATTTACTTTTATTTATTATTATTTTTAACTTGCTATAGGGCATATGTGCTCTGAGAGAGAGAGAGAGAGAGGGCGAGGGAGTGAGAGAGAAAGAGAGAGAGAGAGAGAAAGCCATCAGGTCTGGGACTCTAACTGCAGTCGGCATGTGGGACTCCAGTGCCTTGACCACTTATGCGTCACCTGCCGACCCAGTTTTTAAGCTTTTTAGTAATATACCTATTTTACATAAATGCATTAGATTTTTCTTTTTCTTTTTTCTTTCTTTTTTTTTTTTTTTTTTTTTGGGGGTTTTTCCTTTAGGGGGCAGGCACAAAGACATAGAGACAGAAAGTGAAAATCACCCCCCAGGGGGGATGGTCACGCCACAATCCCTTCTCCTCCATTCTCCTCTTGGGATCTTGGGCACGCACGCAAATGCGCCCAGTGTGAGTTTTAAGCCACTGGGTCCAGGACGTGAACCGTGGTCGACTCCGTGGCAGTCCAGCGACATAGCCATTACGCTAACTGCTGGTTCCCTAGATTTTTCTTTAAGTTCTCTTTTTCACTTCATACTTTTAGACATTTATTTGCATTGCCACAGATAATACAATTTATTCTGCTTAACTGTTGTACAGAATTTTATTACATGCTTTTTTTTTTTTTTAATTGCCAAAGGGAGCATGTGCTAACAGAGGAAGAGAGAGAGAAAGCACTGTCCCTAGCATGTGGCCATTCTTCAATCCCTTCTCCTTCATTTCTCCATCCCATCAGGATTTGGGGCACAGACATGCTGCTCAATGTGTTTTCTGAGCTCCCTGGGCTGGGATCTGAACTGTGGTTAGCCAGTGAGATCTAGTTACCTTACCCACTGGGCTATCATTATATGCTTTTTATTTTTGTTACATCTATTGAGTTTTGTGTGTAATTTCTTTCTAAAACATGATCCCCTGGAAGCAAAAATTAAAAAGAGGAAAGAAAGAAAGAAAGAGCCGGCCAGCCAAAGAAGTTATTTAATAAAAAGGAGTAGGGTAGGGACCGGCAGATGGCGTAATGGTTATGTCACTGAACTCCGATGTAGTCAACTGTGTTTTGAGTTCTGGACCCGGTGGCTGAAATGTCACATTGGGTGCGTGTGCATGCGTGCCCCAGATTCCAAGAGAAGAATGGAGAAGGGGTTGCAGCATGGCTATTTCCCCTGTGGTCGGGGGCAGGGGTGGTTTCTCACTTTCTATCTCTGTGTTTCTCTCAATAAGTAAATAAATAAATAAGTTAATTTAAAAGAAGATGGGTTGGGTAGACTGCCAAATGCTGTTGTTGGTTTGAAAAATAAGGATAGAGGATTAGCCATTGGATTTGGTAATGCGAAAATCATTAGTAACCCTAACAGTTTACTTTATACGTCATCTTTGGAGGTCCTTTGAAGCTTGTCTGCCAATCCAGACTCCTTCAATTAGACACTCTGTGGCTGGGACTCAGCAATCTGTTGTTTGAAAAAGCAATATGTGTGATGCTAAAGTTTGAGATCCACCGTTGTGCTTCATTCAGTTCACATAAAAATGAAAACCATCTCTCTTGGATAAGCATGTCTTCTCTCTTTTCCCCTCAGTGGCCTTTCATTGCTATTAAAGTAAATCTGTAGTTTTGTCTTTAAATAGCTTATAATTCCCTTGTAATCTGATCCCAGATGACATTTCTGGTCTCACCTGTCAATATGTCCATTTCACATTATATTCTCTGGTCATGCTGAGGTACTGCAGTTCCCCGAAAGTGTTATAGTTGCATACTTTTGGGCCTTTTCACCAGCTCTTCCTGCTCCGCGTCTTATTTTTTATTGGCCTTAGAATCACCAGTGCTATTCATGTGTCATATTATTAGGTTAGATGTTATTTGTCCTACCTCTGAGTTTGATGCTTCTGCTTGCTACGTTTTTTTTTTTTTTTTTTTTTTTTTTTTTTTGGTTTTTTGTATGTGGGATGTACAGGGCATGTACGCTAGCCAGACAGACAGAGAGAGACATAGAGACAGAAAGCAAGAAATCACCCCCCAGGGGGGATGGTCATGCCGCAATCCCTTCTCCATTCTCCTCTCGGGATCTTGGGCATGCACGCACATGCGCCCGGCGTGAGTTTTAAGCCACTGGGTCCGGGACGCGAACCGCGGTCGACTACGTGGGATTCCAGCAACATAGCCATTATGCTAACTGCTGGTACCCTCTGCTACGTTTTTTCAGTGAACTGTGTATTTAACCTCTGTGGTGGTACTTACCTAGTTGTAATTGCTTATTTCCTTGTATACTTTTTTGACCAGCAATGAGCTTCTCGAAAGCAGACATTCTTGTGGTCAGTTAATGTTCCTTGGGTCAGTGCTATATTTTGAAGGCATTTTTATAGGCAATTGATCTCTATGATATGATAGATAGTGACTCACTAGTCCACCATCTCAAATATAATGACTTTCTTATTGCTCTTCCTTTATTTCCTTTTCAGACAACTGATCAATATTGGATTCCATGTTTACATGATGAAACTGAGAAACTTGTTCGTAAGGTAAAATACTTTATTTGTAGGGACTTGATGAAATACATTGTTAGAAAGGCAAATGATGACATAAAGGTTTATGTAAATTGTGTTTAATTTGTTTAACTTTGTTATATTGCTTACTTCTTTGGGACTTCTGAAAATAATGTTTTAAAAATCTTTTAAAGATAACAAGATGTGTAATAAACTTGATCTATTTTCAGCTAATCCGATTGGATAACCTTTTTGCCTATTGGAATGTGAATTCTCGGATGTTTTATTTTAATAATTATGATGAGTCATTGGTAAGTAAGTTTTTTTTTTTGATATGTGCATATATGTATATGTATGTTGTATCATATTTTGCATGAGATTTGTCAGTTATTTAAAATACTGTAGTACTATTTTTTTTTTCTAGGCAATAGTAATTAGCAGAGTTTACAAAAATAGATGAATATTGGGGCCAGCAGGTGGCATGGTGATTAAGCTGCTGGACTTCCAAATGCCTAGCTATGGTTGAGTCCCAGACCTGGTGGCTTGCTTTCTCACTTTCTCTCTCTCTCTGTCTCTCTCTCTCTCTGGTGAGCACATGTGCCCTATAGCAAATTAAATAATATAATAATAATACATTTTTAAAAATAGGTGAATATGTATGTCACATCTTTATCTTTTACTTTATTATTATTTTTTAATACATTGAATTGCTATACGTCATTTAGCTTGTAGAGAGAATTTACCCAACATGAAATATACCTCAGGCCAATCCAGTTAAGAATACTACACACTATATATCACATCTTAATAGTTCCTGGAGCATTCTTCTGTGATGGTAGTTTAGTGAGATATTATTTAATCACTTTAGTATTTTGCCATAGCTAAGTTCCTCCTAAGTTTGTGATATTTATTATTAATTTTTTTAGTAGGTTTTTTTTATTTTTTTAAAAATATTTATTTAATTTTATTTATTCATTCATTTATTTTTTAATTTGACCAGAGAGAGACAGAGGGTGAGAGTGAGAGAAGTGAGAAAGCAAGCCACCAGATTCAGGACTTGAACTCTGGTCGGCCATGTGGGAATGTCCAGCACCTTAACCACCACGCCACCTGCTGGTTCCCTAGTAGTTTTTTAGTTTTTTGCTATAGGGTGTTTATGCTCACCAGAGAGAGAAAGAGAGAGGAAAGTGAGAAATCACCCCCGCAGGGGGATGGTTACATCACAGTCCTTTCTCCTCCAGTCTCCTCTAGGGATTTTGGGCATGTGTACACATGTGCCTGCCGGCCAGGACTTAAGCCATGGTTGGCATGTGGGAGTCCAGCACCTTAACCACCATGCCACCAGGTGCCCCCAGAATGATTTATTTTTTGAATTGCTTTTAAACATTTTTCTTTTACAGATAATTGGGTTTTATAGAATAAAAGTATATTGGCATGAATATAAATAAAAGCAGTTTGTCTTTTAATAGGACAGCTTGAGGGATGGCATTGTCAAGGAAAATATTGTTCCAGTAGGATATGATTTTGGTAAGTACATGTCATAAAGTAAAAAATTTTGATGAAAATAATCAGTGTAAATTTTATGTTAACAACGTTGATGCCTCTGAGATTTTATGTTGAAATTTCTCTTTATAAAGAAATCTATTTATAATATATATATGAAAGCAAAAATTGGCCTTGGGTATATGTTTTATTTTTGAGCAGCTTTTGGCTGTACAGTAGTCTCCCTTATCCTTGGTTTTATATCCCCTGAGTTCAGTGACCTGTAGTCAGCTGGAGTCTGAGAATGAGTGAGCATATATAGTGAGATATTTAGAAAAAGAGCACATTCACATAATATTTATCTTTTATATAAATTAAACTGCCACAGGTGTGTGTGTGTGTTGTAAAAAGCATAGTATTTATAGGGTTTGGTACTATCCACAGTTTCAGGCATCCACTGGGGGTCTTGAACTTTACAGATAAAGGGGGACCTACTTCAATTCAGAACTGTAGGGGAAAATGTTTAACCAAAGAGGATATTAATAAATTGTAATGAATCTCTAGGGATTATTCAATAACAATTATAATAATGGTAATAAAGGTGTTTCAGAATAACAGATACAATTAAATAAGGCTAGCTGTTACAGCTTGTAGAGTGATATTACTATTTTTGAAATGTACCTTTAAAAGTTTTCTTCTATATACTTTTTTTTTTGTTTTCCAAATTTTCTGAAGTATACATGGGTTAGTTTTATAATCAGAAATTAATTACTGAACTATACAGAGAAAAGAAGTGCTATATCTTCTACCACCTTGAGGACACTCAATAAATGTTGATTGGTGATAAATAATTTAGTTCTTGAATCTGGCTACTGATGTCACTGAAAATCTGTAGAATATCCATCCTGTGGGCAGCCCTTGACATGGTGGTTAAGGCAGCTGAATTGCACATGGATGACTGCGCAATTCTAGTCTTGGACCTGGTGGCTTGAGAAACATGGAGGGTGCATGTACATGTATGTGTGTATCCAAGATCCAGAAAGAAGAAATGGAGAAGGGATTGTGGCATGACCATTCCCTATGTTGGATATTGTCTCATTTTTTTCTCTGTCTCTCTCCAGTGAGTACATCTGCCCCTTAGCAAAAAAAAAAAAGAAAGAATAAAATAAATCTCTTTCCTGCAAGTATTTCTTTCTTGTCTTCAGTGATACTTTTCTTTTTGTATTATCTTTTTGTATTCTACCTACATGATCACTATTAATTTCAAGTGTTTTTTTTTTTTTTCTTGTGCCCACTCTTGAAATATGGTCTCCATTGTTTTGAACTTAGTTTAGTTTTGTATTCTCTCCTTATAGAAGAATATTCAAGACAGAAGAGTTATCTGTTAATGTGTGTCGATGTCTGGTATCTATTACTTTTACGTTTGACTTATTTCTTCTTTGCCATATAGTCATTTCCTGCTCCGTCGGTCAGGGTTTAATGAAGAGAGATACTACACTGTAATTTTTTTTTTTTCTTTTTTGGAGAAGTTTTTGCTACAGGGCACGTGCACTCACCAGGAAGACAGAGACAGAGAAACAGAAAGCAAGAAATTACCCCCCATGGGGGATGGCCATTGCCACAATCCCTTCTGCTCCATTCTCCTCTTGGGATCTTGGGCATGCACACACATGTGAGTTTAAGTCACTGGGTTTGGGACTCACACCATGGTCGACTATGTGGGAGTCCAGCAACATAGCCATTACACCAACTGCTGGTCCCCTATATTGCAATTTGACTGAGGAAAGTTCAGTATAGAGAATTATTAACTGGAAGAAGGCATTGAAGTAACAAGGGATTGGCTAGTAAAAGGTACAGAGAATATTATAGAATATAGAAATAGGGACCAGCAGAGGGTGTAATAGTTACGTTGCTGGACTCCCAGATGGCTAGTCATGATTTAAGTCCAGGACCTGACACCTTGAAACTCATGCTGGGTATGTGTGTGTGCATGCCCAAAATCCTGAGGGTTGAATGGAGAAGGGATTGTGGTGTGGCCATTCTCCCCCTGGGGGGGTGGGGGGGTGATATCTCACTTTCTGTCTCTCTGTCCTCTCCAGTGAGTGCATGTGCCCTATAGCAAAAATCTCTCCAAAGGGAAAAAAAAAAGAATATAGAAATAGTAGCTAGAGAGAACCCCACCTTAGAGCCAGGATGGAGTACTCAAAGAAGAGGGCTCTCCTCCATTAGCACTGAGATCCACACCTTGTGGGCTTTGACTCATGGAATGAAAGGAAAGTCTTTGTAATGCTGTGCCAGGAAAACTTAGAAATCCATTCTCTCAAACTTCCTGAAGATCTGTCCTTTCTGGAGCTAAGGGGCTGGCCCAAATTAAATTGTAATAGTCTTGTGGAGAGAGATGTCTCATTGAATGTACTCCACTACAGAATTGCTTTAGCAGGTGCTGGGCAAGTTACAGGGCTGTGCTAGCTGCCATATGATGCAGAGGACTGGTGCTGAAGTCCTTCACGCTGGAGGGGCCAAATAGCAGAGAAGCCACCTGTTCTGTAGAAGCTCAGTGTCGGAGAAATCTTGCTACTGCAGGAGCCAATTCAAAGAGCACATGACAACCAGCAATGTGTTTCTAGTTTCTTCTGAAAGACTTAACATTATGTTACCTGGTAAAGGAAGAAAATTTAAAAGGCCCCAAACTGCATTTCAGAGCAGGCAGTTTGGGTGAATTTGGAGCACAGAGGCAGAGAGTTGATAACTGGCATACCTGTTGGAGAAAGAAGGAGGAATGAAGGATTTCTTTTTATTTGTTTTGTATTTTTTTAAACTTTATTAATTAATTTTTAAAAAAATTTACCAGAGAGGGACAGAGAGAGAGAGAGGGAAAGTGAGAAAGCAAGTCACTAGGTCCAGGACTCGAACCATGGCTGGCCATGTGGAGTGAGGAATGGCCTTGCTGCAGTCCTTTTTCTTCTATTCTCCTCTCGGGATTTTGGGCATGTCTGCATGCACACACACATGCCTGGTGAGGTTATTTTAAAAATAATTATTTATTAATTTTATTTACTCATTCATTTATTTTAATTTGACCAGAGAAAGAAGGAAAGTGAGAAAACAAGCCACCAGGTCCAGGACTTGAACTGTGGTCGGCCGTATGGGTTCCAGTGCCTTTAACCACCACACCACTTGCTGGCCCCCTGGTGAGTTTTTCAAGCTGCTGGGTCCTGGAGCCAAATCATCCAGTCAGCCATGTGGGTCCAGTGCTTTAACCACTATGCCACCCGCTCGCCATGATCGCGCACGTTCTTGATGCAGCCACATCCAGCTGCTCAGGTGCACGGATAGAGTAAGTGGGGTTGCCTGCAGTTACTCATGGAGCGAGGAGGGCAGCGGAGTCCAGAGTGAATACAAGGGAATGATTAAAGTAACCGATGATGGAATTTCAGTAGAGATGGAATCGAGGACATGGTGCGGAAGTCAAGGACAGAAAACAGATAGAAGACTAGTGAATTACAGGTCCAGGGTAGTTCTAGCTCTGTCACCAACTCCTGAAATTAGTTATTTTCCCGACTATTTCAGTATAAGATGGGATGTGGAAGAAATATCGGATTGTCGGAAAAGTCATGATACAATTTTGCATAGAAAAAATACGTCATGACTTTTCTAACAACCCAGTAGTAATCTATAAGCATTTATTTTTATTCTAATAGAAACTATTTTTGATTGCTTAGCTTAATTTATAAAAAATTAAGTGGTAGTCCTTGGAGTGATTAAAATGAGAGGGATACATGATCTTTTTAATACAGATCAACTTTATAAATAAAAAGTAATTTTTTTTTTTTAGCAGAGGGCCTGTGTACTTGCCAGAGAGACAAGTGAGAAAGAGAATGAGGAGAAGTGAGAGCCCCATGGGAGATGGTCGTACTGAAATCCCTTCTCCTCCACTTCTACCTCCTGTCAGGATTCTGGGTACCCATTCATGCTTCTCAAGCCACTAGGTCTGAGACTGCAGCTGCACAGCCAGCCATGTGCGATCCAGCTGCCTTAACCACTGTGCTACATGCTGGCCCAAATTGAATTATAATTTAATAATGATCTCTATATTTTGCTGTTTCTGGTCTCTTGCATGGTTCTTTTTGGCACTAAATTCAAACACTTGAGAGGAATTTATATTCTATTATAAATTGAGCAAGAGCAGGTAATCCTGGAATAATTCTTTCATCTTCTATCCTTTCTTATAATGAGTTAAAAAAAATGGATACAGAAATCTTGATTAGAAATTCAGGTATTATATAATAATTACATATTTGAGGTCAATGTTAAATATCACTTTTTTCTCTTAGCATTTCTAATGTTCCTGTATTCCCTAAGACTGTGTACTTTATTAAATCTATTGTTATGGGCAGTTTTTCGTTATAGACAGTGTTCCTTCTTTGAAGATGATTTTGTTGTTTATTGTACCTATTGAAGACAAAATGATTTGTACATAGGAAAAGATAAAATAATCTTCCTGCCAATTAAGGAGCAGTTTCATCTGGCCACATTATGGCAGTGTAGACATTAGAGAACTGTGGGAAGGGTATAAGAGAAATAAAAAATCAGTGTTTTCAGCATGACCCCTTTAGTGTCTTGAGACTTTTGATGTATAACTCTATTTAATTTTTTTTAATTGTATTATTTTCCAGTATTTCGGCCCATATCTGCTAATGCCAAACTTCAGATAAATCGCCGATCAGATTTTGACTTTTCTTCCCCCAAAATAAACTTGGATGTTGAGTTACATAACATAGCAATTGAATTTAATAAACCACAGGTAATGTCCTTTAATGAAATTTTAAATTGTGAGTTACTGTTTGATAAAAGCAAAACTAAGATTTGAAATATTTTTCTAAAATTTATGTTATATGGTAAAATTTCTCTAAAAAGTTGGTAATTTAACTTTTATCTTCAAGAGTTGAATATAAAATGTGAAACATCTGAGAGCTTTAATTTTTCATTCTTTAGTATTTCAGTGTTATGGAGCTTCTTGAATCAATTGACATGATGACACAAAATCTGCCATATAGAAAATTCAAACCGGATGTACCTCTTCACCACCATGCCAGGGAATGGTAAAATGCCTTAATTTTCTTTTAGTTCAAAAAAACACTTAAAAAGCAGGACATAAAAGTAAATTTCTTGACTTTTTAAGAATGATTTCTTTTGGAAGATACTCTTTTTAAGGTCTGATGCAAGCTATAATTTGGTATGTGGCTAGAAATGGGTAATTGCTTTTGCTTATTATACTAATGAAATGAAATATTGTAAAGATGCTTCCTACTAGAATTTGAAACTGGCGATACAGGAACAGCATAGTTTTCATTTACTGTATAGGGATAAATGTGTTGGGAGTTTTTTTTTTTTTTTCTTTTTTTCTTTTTGCTGTAGGACTTATATGCTCACCAGAGAGAAGGAGAAAAAGTAAAAAGTCACCCCCCAAGGGGGATGGCTACACTGCAGTTCCTTCTATTCTCTCCTTGGAATTTTGGGCACACACGCACACGAACCAGTGTGTTTTTCAAGGTTATCAGGTTCAGGACCTGAAGCACGAAGTAGTCATGTGGGATCTAGCTGCCTTAATTTCTGCACCACTTGCTGGCTCAGCATTTTTGGAATTACTAAAATGTGGTGTCCTGGGGGCCAGTAGGTGGTGTGGAGATCAAGGTGGCTGGATTACACATAGCCGAGTCTGTGGTTCAGGTCCTGGACCTGGCAGCTTGAATATTGTGGCCCTGATACTTGTGTGTGCATGCCCAAAATCTCTAGAGAAGACTGGAGGATGAGGGACTGTGGCATGGCCATGCCCGCAGGAGTGGTTTTTTACCCCCCCTCCCTACACAAACACACACTTCTCTCCAGTGAGCACATGTACCCTATAGTAAAAACTAAAACTAAAACAAAACAGTGTTCTGTTTATTTTCTGGCAATTTTTTTAAAAAAGTAGTTTGGGGCAAGCAGGTGACGTGGTTAAGGAGCTGATTCCCACATGGCTGATGGCAGGTTCAGTCCTAGGCCAGGAGGCTTGAAAATCACCTCTGTTGCATGTGTGTCCATGCCCAAAATCCTGATAGGAGAATAGAGGGGAAGCAACTACAGTGTGACTGTCCCCCTGTGGGGTATTTTTTCACTTTCCCTCTTTACGTCTGTTTTGACTGAGTGCATGTGCCCTTAAAAAAAATAAAAACAGCTTTATGTATTACATCCATGAGAGATGAGAGAAAGAGAGACAGAGACAGGCAGGCAGGCAGGCAGATAGGGAGGCAGGCTCTAAAGGCCCCTTACGCTGTGATTCTCTCCCAGCCTCAGCCAGCCAGCATCATGGGCATGTGCACTTGCCTAGGGTGCACAGGGAGGCCTTGGGACGTGACCCTGGGACCTTCCCATGTGGCTTCAGCGTTGCTGAGTGCTGTTACTGCTGTGCCAATGTGGCCGGTTTAGCAGTGTCTTGTTTCTTTTTTCAAGCTCCTGTATCAGACACAAAAACCTGTGTTACTAAAATCTGGAACGGTTGTCGGAGTTTATACAGTATAACCCCATTTTAAAAATAATAAAATCTTGTTATTCCAACTTTTATACTATTCCCTAGTTTTTAGAACTGCAGTTATGCAATTTGGTTATAATTCAGGTGACTAAAATGATGGTTGTCAATAATGCCTCCATAGTTCTCGTGTAGAGTTCTATTTAACAAATGGAATGATTTTTACTTAGGAAACTGCAAGATTGAAAAACAGTGGATTTTTTAAATGTAAAAAGTGTTGAGAAAAAGCAAGTGGTCAGATAACATAACATTCTCATAGTCTCTGTATTATATGTGTTGTTAGACTAGAAATAAACTTTTTCATACTGTTAATCTGAGGGTGTTAAGTGTGGGGTTTTTCTTTTTTGTTTTTTTAACTAGGTGGGCTTATGCTATATCTGGTGTTCTTGAAGTAAATGTTTGCCCCAGACTGCGGATGTGGTCATGGAAGCATATTAGAGAACATAGGCAAAAAATGAAGCAATATAAAGAACTGTATAAAAAAAAGTTAACAAGTAAGAAGCCAGCTGGTGAAATTCTCATGTCTTTGGAGGTTAGCATTTAAAAATATTGTCAAATATTTTGTATTATGTGATTCCTCCTCCATCTTCAGTGACTAATACTTTCTACTTCTTCACTCTAGTTATTATTGACCATTCCCTGCCCCTTTTATTTGCACTTTTCCATACTCTCATTCTTAACTTCATTTGGGTAATACAAGAGCTAGTGGAATTCTCCTGTGAACTTTTGCAATCTGGGATTCTCTCAATCTTAAGAGATTTGGGTTCATACAAATAGTAACTTGTTATTTATCACTTTCTTATGTACTTTTTAACTTCGGAAGCCTAAAAAGTGTTTGCTCTGTTGATTCCAAACTTCTCTGTTTCGAAGCCTTAGGCTATCCGTCACTGCTGCGCGTCCCCTCTGTTGCCGTCTCACTGTGCATTAGCTAGCAGCTTTCCTGCCTTCTGTGTACACAGCCCTTGTCTGTAGCCATGCCGGTGCTCAGGTGTGCTATCTGCCTTTCCCCATTTCTCTGTTTATCTCAATTCTACTTATCCCCGGAGTTCTACTTGAGTCCTGTCTCTTATGCGAACTTACTTCAGTTTTCCGCCCATATATAGCTCCTCCTTCTCTCCTCATTGTTGTGCTAGCTCCAGTTCCTCACCAGCAACTTTCCATTTAATTACCTGTCGAGGTCTTATTCTCATTTTAGTCTTGTCTCACCTTTGGGCCTCGTAGCATGTTCTAAAAGGGACTGTTTTGTAGACGGGCACAAGTACAGCTTTGGAGAGCTAAGGGAAGTTAGCCTCTTGAAATTAATTCTGAATTCAGGGGATGTTTCAATTTGGAACTTCCTGAATGTTTAGTTTTATTTTTGTTAGGTTGTTGGGAAAGTCATGACTTTCTATGTTTGATTAGTATTTTTCTATGCAAAAATACATCATGACTTTTTCAAGGTCCCAATGTTTTCGAGGTTGGAAGACCTTTATGAAGATTTAGAATTGTTAAGAATGCTTGGGTTTGGAGGCTTTTGGGGTATGGGTATGTTTTTCTCATTCAGTTTTTGTCTTGACCTGAATCCTCCAAGTCCATTAGACAGTAGAATCCTGCATTGTTTTCTGGATGATAATAGATCACAGTTGCTACTCTTGGGGGTGGGGAGGTTGAGAATATGTGGCTTGAGTATGAAACACTTGAAAGTAATCATGGGAATGTGTAGATATGGTAAAAGATCTAGTTTACCTCATATTATTTCTGTAGCCGTAATTTCTTTGAAAAGTGTTAAAGTTAAAAACAACCTTGAAGCGTATCCAGATCTACCTGGAACATTTTAATGATGATGTAGAAACTATACACATAGCATCAAGGATTTATAATTATACTGAGTCGTTGGGAAAGTCATGACGGATTTTTGCATGAAAAATCCGTCATGACTTCTGACGCCCGGTATTTTCAGTCAAAAGGAGACAAAGACAAGGAGACAGAAAGTTCATGAAGAAATGGAAGTGGAACCAGCAGTTAGCGGAATGGCTATGTCGCTGGACTCCCATGTAGTTGACCGCGGTTCGCGTCCTGGACCTGGTGGCTTTAAACTCACTCTGGGCGTGTGTGCATGCATGCCCAAGATCCCGAGAGGAGAATGGAGGAGAAGGGATTGCGGCGTGACCATCCCCCCTGGGGGGGTGATTTCTAGCTTTCTGTCTCTCTCTGTCTGGCGAGCGCACGCGCCCTGTAGCAAAAAATCTCTCCAAAAAAAAGAAATGGGATTAAAAATAAACAATGTGAAAATTATATTTTTCAACATAGCATCTATCAGGTTCCAGACAGTTTCGTAGGCAGTGGTACTAGTCATCTATTGTATCCTAAAAGCTGAGGATCCTGGCAGTTTAGCCCTGTCAGTGCAGGAAGATGGGTGCCCTTCAGAGATCTGTCAAGGTTAGGAAGCAGAAGTAGTCAGAAGGAGCCTAATCAGGCCTGGAAGGAGGATGCCTAACCATTTCCCCTCAGAAGCCTTAGAAAACTGCTTCGTTTGATGAGAGGCATGAGGAGGAACCTAGTTGTGGCTGGTGGACTCTCCAACCAAGTGATGCTTTCCTGGGTGCTTTTCTGCAAAGCTTCAGCTAATGCTCTTGAAACACTCATAATGAACAGATTTTATCATTCTTTGGTCCTTCAGAAAGTCAACAGGCAAAATGCCTGTAGCATTTAAAAAAGTTGTCACCATGACCTTTACTCTTGATTGGTCTGGTTTTGCCATGACTAGACCACTTCCGCTTCTTGGTCGTCATAACCTTCATTATCCTTTGTGTTCAGGATTGTACTGGTAAAGCCATGTTTCGTCTTCTGTTCTAACTCTGAAGAAATTGTTCAGGCTCTTGATCCCGCTTGTTTAAAATTTCCATGGGAAGGTCTCCTCTTGTCTGCAGCTGATCTGGGCACAATAGTTTTGGTACCCATTGAGCAGAAAGTTAGCACTGCTTTTAATTTTTCAGTCAGAATTGTGCAAGCTGAACCAGTTGAGGTATCTGTGTCATTGGCTGTCATTTCTGCTGTCATTAATCCTCTTTAGTTTGGGCACAAACAAGATTAATTTTTTTCCTGTAAATTTGGAGATCTGCCACTGTGGGTGTTATCTTAACTTCATCTTGTCTCTTCTTAAAACAAATTATCTGTTTGTAAATTGCTGATTCTTTGGGGCATTTTCACATAAACTTTTTTTAAAGCATCAATTCTACCCAAACTTCACCGTAAATCTGATGTTTGTTCTTGCTTCAATTTTAGCAGAATTTATGTTGCTTTGATGGGGGTCTTTTTAAACTGATGCCTTATCCTTTCTCAAACTAGATCCTGTTCAGACATGTTATAACAAGGTGTAGTATAAGCATATTTTGGTCTGAAAAACTTTGAAATCTATGCATAATTTTTTCACAATATGCTTTTGCCATGATTTTTTAAATATCTCATATATTTACACTTAGTTGTAGTTAAAAACCCAAATGAAAGACACTTTAAACAATGTATGTATGATATCTTTTAGTATGTGTCTGTAATTATAGAGTTTGTAATTCTCAGATGCCTGACATAAATGATTTCATTATTGTAAAAGATACTCTATCCTACTAATTTCCAAGCTGATGTATGTATGTATGTATGTATGTATGTGTATGTATATATATATATATATTGTGTTCAAGAATTTAACAGATATATTATATTGATTTATGTACTATTTTTTGCTTTCTAGCCTTTCTTATTGCATCAATTTGATAGATTCCATTCTAGAGTTATTTATATAAAATTATGTGTACAATGTTAAAATGTTTTTGTTTTTATTTTCAGGAGTTGGAAAAAGCTCTTGATGTCTTTAATATAACTATAGCTAGACAACAGGCAGAAGTTGAGGTAATTTCAGTTAATCTTTCAACTAGTAAAAATAAATCTAAATTTCATATATATGATGTAATGTTATTAGTATTATGTTGTAACACAGTGTTTCCTTAAATAAGTTCAAATGTGCTTTTTTTGTTATAAGAAAATTTGATTTAATATGTTATTATATTCATTTAATCAGAGGTTTCTGTGGAAAAGATGACCTAATAATAGGGCTTATCAAAAATTTAGAGTTTAGGGGACCAGCAGATGGCGTAATGTTTACATTGCAGGATTCTTACATAGTCAACTGCAGTCGAGCCCCAGACCAGGCGGCTTAAACTCATGCCGGGCATGTGTGCATGTATGCCCCAGATACTGAGAGAATGAAAGAGAAGGGATTGTGGCATGACCATGCCCCTGGGGGGAGATTTCTTGCTTTCTGTCTCTCTGTCATTCCCGTGAGTATACATGCCCTATAGCGAAAATCTGCCTTAAAAAAAATTCAGAGCTCATGTGAATGTAAAAAGCCAAATTTATTTTTTAATTAGCATCTCTTGTAAGGCAGTGGAGAGAGTTATGTCATGATCCAAAATTATTATGCTTGGCTAGTGTTTACAGTTTTGTGGTCTGTTAGTGGGTACATTGTTTACACATATTTACTCAGGTAGAAAGTTTTGGAAATATTGTGCTTCTATTTTTTGATTGCTGAACAAAGGAAAATTTGTTATTTATTTGAAAATTTATTCATTTTAGGTAAAGAAAGCTGGATACAAGATTTACAAAGAAGGGGTAAAAGACCCAGAGGATAATAAAGGATGGTTTGGTTGGCTGTGGACTTGGTCAGAATCAAGTACTAAAGAGGAACCAGATATTAAACCTGGAAGTATGTCCACCGTATTTTACAGTGGTGTAATCATGGGGTGTGGAAGTTCTACAGAAAACTTTCCAATTCAAATAAGTAGACCCTGAAATACATAAGAGAACATAGTTTAAATTTATTAGTAAAATTGCAATTTCAAGACATTTTAGAATGTATATAAGTCAAATAAATAAAAATGAAATAAAATAGGTTTTTAATTTTACTGGTGTTTATGAATGAGTTTGATAACCAGAGGATTTAGTGAATGTGTATAACATAGTACAAGATAGTATCATTTTTACTGAAATTGTTTTTTGGAATTATCTTTTTTAACCAAAGGCTTAATTAAGATCAATAGGTTTGGACACTTAGGGACTTAGATGTCAATCTTAGATCTGTTATGTTTTACTACTATGGCCTTGGCAAGTTATTTAAGCTCTCTAAAGTCAGTTTTATTATTTATAAAATGGGTGGAAATTGTGATACAAATGCTACCTACTTTATATGCTAAGAGTGCTGCTTAGCAACGTGCCAGTTCAGTTAGCCTCTTCTGTACTCTTGCTTTGCGCACACATTTTTATAAATTGATATGGCTAAATTTATACATTTACCACTTTATCTTTTTGGAGAATAATTTTAACATTACCGGTGCTATCCTTATATTCATTGATTATACTTTCTTAAAATAGTAGAAAGAAGGCCAGCCCTATAGCTTAGTGTTTAAGGGAGTCAAGTCCCACAGAACCAACTGTGGTTCGAATCCTGGCCCCCAGTAGCTTGAAAAGCACAGTGGGCATGTGTGTATGTGTGTCCAAACAAGACGGAGAAATGGAGAGAAGGGATTGTAGCATGACCACGCTCTATTGGGGTGCTTTCTCTCACAATTTTCTCTCTCTGCTGAGCACATGTGCCCTCTGGCAATTTAAAAAATTAGAAAAGAAAGTAAAATTTACATTTTAGTTATTAAAGGCAGCAAATTATGTGTTAATTTTGTAGTTATCACTTAAGAATACAAAAGCCCTTCTTTATATTTCATAGTTCTTGAAGAAATGTTAACCCCTGAAGAAAAAGCTTTACTCTATGAAGCAATTGGCTACAGTGAAACAGCAGTTGATCCAACCTTGCCAAAAACAGTAAGGTTTTTCTTACCTTCTGCCTTGGACTTTAATGTTAAATATGCATATTTTTTGAAACACATATTAGTGGCTTGTTCTGTGATTTCTTTCTGAGTTTGTAAATACTGCATTTATTGTCATTTCCAGGGTAAAGATGAAAACCATTCTTTTTTAGTGTTAATGTGGTGATTCTTTAATAGATGAGTGGTTATTTTTAAACATTTTGTGGATTCTGTGATGAATGAATGTACATGAATAAGATTAGTAAGCTAGGCACAACGACACATGCCTGTCATCCTCCTTGAGCTACTGGAGGAGCTAAGTCAGGAGGATCATGAGACCCTGGGTCTCACCCAAGGTCTCACCTCACCCAAGGTCTCACCTCTTTTTTTTTTTTTGAGAGGTTTTTTCACTATAGGGCATGTGCGCTCTCCAGATAGACAGACATAGAGACAGAAAGCAAGAAATCACTCCTAGGGGGGATGGCCACACCGCAATCCCTTCTCCTCCATTCTCCTCTCGGGTCCTGGGGCACGCACGCACACGCACCCGGCATGAGTTCTAAGCCACTGGGTCCGGGACACGAACCGCGGTCGACTATGTGGGAGTTCAGCGACATAGCCATTACGCTAACTGCTGGTTCCCCCAAGGTCTCACCTCTTGAGACCCTTTTTCTTTTCTTTTTTTTTTTTTTTTTGAGAGGTTTTTGTTACAGGGTGCTTGTGCTTGCGCTTGCCCGACAGAGAGAGACAGAGATAGAAAGTAAGAAATCATCCCCCAGGGGGAATGGCCATGCTGCATTCCCTTCTCTTCCATTCTCCTCTTGGGATCTTGGGCATGCACGCACACACGCCTGGCATGAGTTTTAAGCCACTGGGTCTGGGACGCGAACCGTGGTCGACTACATGGGAGTCCAGCGACATAGCCATTACTAAGGGTCCCGAGACCCTTTTTCAAAAAAAAAAGATTATTTTGTTTTCTTTTTAAAAAAGCATACACACATATATATGTGTTTTAATTGTATTGCTCTGAATATACTCTAGTTTGAAGCTGTGAAGTTGTCTATTCACTTGAAAAGCATGTCCATTGTTCTGCGAGAAAAAGAGCAAACTCCTGAGCTGTTGGATATCATAATAGAAGAGTTTAGCACTTTGATTGTGCAGAGACCAGGAGCACAAGCAATAAAGTAAGTATTAATTTATTTTCTTTTGTAGGAAGAAAATTCACTGTGAGGCTGGATGTTAGGTCCTGGTCTCACAGTCTTTTGTATAGGACACTGTGGGTTAGGGGTTGGCAGGTCAGTCACATGGCTAGACTCCTGCATGGTCGACTATGGTTCTAGTCTCAGACCTGGTGACTTGCTTTCTCATTTTCCCTCTCTCTGTCTCTTTGCCTCTCTGTCTGTCTTTCTCTGGTCAGCACATGTGCCGTGTAGCATATTAAAAAAAATACTAATAAATAAAATGAAATAACTCTTTAAGAAAAAGGATACTATGTGTTAATCCTTTTATATTTTTAGAAACTTAGACTTATTTTTCAGTAATATGTATTTTTTGGGATTATTAAAATACACATTTAATGGAAATCTACATATGGGTGAAACAGAACAACACTAAAGGAAAATGGAGAAATGGTCAGCAATCCCGCACAAGAAATGGCATCAAGAAATGTGATTTTATCCTAGGAATTTCTTTAGTTTTTCTGTTTTTGGCATAGGGTGTGTGCACTTGTCAGAGAGAGAGAGACAGAGGGAAGGTAAGATATCACCGCTCACCCCCCTCAGGGGTATCCCTTTTCCTCCTGTCTCCTCTTGGGATTGGAATTTTTGGGCATGCATGCACGATGCCTGGTGTGATTTTCAAGCCACCAGGTCTGGGATTTGAACCATAGAGTGGAATCCAGCCAACTCAACCTTCACATCACTTACTGACCTGGGAATATTTTTATTTTGTCTTTCTATTGAAAACTAGCTTTTTTTGAGACATAATTTGCATGCCATATAGTTCTTCTACTTAAAGAGTACAATTTGTTGATGTTTCACAATAATATATTTACAAGGCTTTGCAACTGTCACCACTATTTAATTCCAGAGTATTTCATCGTACCATGAGGACATCTTATACCCATTAGAACTTACTCCCTCGCACCCGCTTCCCCAACCCCTGGCAATACTATTTTACTTTGTATTTCTGAGAATTTGTCTTTTCTGGACTTGTGTATGAATGGAATCATATAATGTGGCCTTTTCTGTTGCTGCATAAATTAGTACTTCATTTTTTTTTTTTTTAAGAGATTTTTGCCATGGGGTATGTTTGTTTGTTGAAGAGATGGAGACAGAGAAATGGAAAGTGAGAAATCACTCCAAGGCGGGGGGGATGACCATGCAGCAATCCCTTCTTCTCCATTCTCCTCTCAGGATTTTGGGCATGCGTGCACATGCACCTGGTGTGAGTTTTAAGCCACCATGTCTGGGACTCAAAAGTGCGATCAACCATGTGGGAGTCCAGCAACATAACCATTATGCCATCTCATCTGCTGGTCCTATTACTTCATTTTTTTTTTTTTTTTTAACTGTCTACACTGTTGCATTGTAAGGAGGGATATGCTACTTTTTGTTAGTTCATTCATCAGTTGATCAATGTGGTGTTGTAGTTTTCACATTATGAATACTGCCACCTGCTGGCCCAAACTTACAATTTCATTTAAGAACTTTGCCTGTGCCTTTACATGCAACTTAAAGAGTCCTGTTTCAGCTGTCAACATGGCTTTCTTATCACTAAGTTTAATCATTTCTAGCTTTTGATTTAAACTCATTCTTCTGCTGCCTCAAATATGTTGCTGCACCTCTGTAGTGAATTTTGCATTTTATTTATTATACTTTCAACCTCAGGATTTCCATTTTAAAAGTGATTTTTCTTTATTGGTATTTTCTATTTGATGAGTCATTGTTATTATATCTTTATTTAATTATTTGTACATATTTTCCTTAAGTTATTAGTGTTTAAGTATATGACAGGTACTTCTTCAGAGGCTGTCTATGTACCTTGAATATTGGTCACACTTTCTGTTTTTTTTTTTTTTTTTCATGCCTAATACTTTTGTGTTCAGAATAGCACATTTTAGATAATAGTGTAGCAACTCTGGATTCTGATATCTACCACCCACCTGATAATTTTTTTGTTTGCTTTGTTCATTTGTTTAGGGGAGTTGGCTGACTAGAGGCAACCTCTGATGTCCTTGCCCAGATTTCCCCCCTCTTTTTATCTTTTAGTCTGCCTTTCTAGAAGTTATCTAGAGATGTTGGTACAAACTTCTTGTCATATTTTATGCTTTAAGACTACTGAGCCAGTAAGATTTTCATCCCTATCATGGGATTTCTATGTGATTTGGAGGTTGTTTATGGTTCAGGGAGTATACAGTTTTGTTCTGTGTTCAGCCAGGGACTAATAGCTCAGAAGTCCCCTCTCTCGTTGCAACTGTAGTGCTAGACTTGGTCTAGTCTGAGGGAAGAGGAGACCCCATCCTGTTGGCTGCACCACCTGACATAGGCTCTGTGGAACAGTATGGAGCTAGAGATGGGAGATGATCTTAACTCGAATGCCACTGATTCCCCCGTTCTTACGAGTTTCTGGATTTTTAAAATTTTTTGAATAAATGTTTTCCTGCCTCTTCTATGCACTTAGGTTGATTTCTAGAGACTCTATAGTTTTGTTTGTTTGTTTGCTATAGGGCACATGCTTTCACTGGAGAGACACAGAGAGAAGGAAAAACAGAGAGGGAAAGTGAGAAATTACTCCCCAGAAGGAGTAGCCACTCCACAATCCCTGGCATGCTTTTCAGGTTGCCAGGTCCAGGTGTCAGACCATACAGTTAGTCACGTGGGATCCAGATGCTTTAACCCCTGTGTTACAGACTGGCCTGACTATAGTTTTTACCAGTTGTTTCACTGGCTGGATTGTTGGAAAGGAGGGTTAGTTAACTTCTCACAGAGCCATTCTAGAAAATCTGCCCAGAGTTCGGTTTTCTATAGTGATTTTATTCTTAAAAATGCTTTTAAAGTTGTGTTAGATATGAGAGACTTTACAGTTTCACATTAATTAAGCATTATAGGAATTTACCATTATTTTCATTTCACAAAATAGTCCAAACATTAGCTTGTTATAGCTTTTTTACGTAGAAAGCAACTGTGAAAGGGTCTTTGGGAATTAATCTATGTCAATTCAAGGGAGTCATTGTATATTTTCTCTGATGCGAATGGAACTGAGGAAATACAAAGAGATTTTCATTTGCTTAATCATTCTCAGTTTGAAAAATTCTTTAACCTTGTTTTGATTTCTAATTTTTGTCCTGTTTTTCCTTTGCAGATTTGAAACCAGAATAGATTCGTTTCATGTTACTGGCTTACCAGATGACTTAGAAAAACCTCGCCTCTTGTCTTCACTAGACGATGCTATGTCACTCTTCCAGATTACATTTGAGATAAATCCACTAGATGAAACTGTTGCTCAAAGGTGTATCATTGAAGCTGAACCTTTAGAAATGATATATGATGCTGTAAGCATGTTTTAGATTGCCAGCTTTTAATATAGCTCAGTTTGCGTTGAATTTGCATATAACATTGATGATGCTTTTTAAAACAGAGAACAGTGAATAGTATAGTGGAATTCTTCAGACCTCCGAAAGATGTACACCTAGAACAGCTCACTTCTGCGACTTTGACAAAACTGGAAGAATTTCGAGATAAGACAGCAACAGGTAAGTGACACTATTGGTGTTGGAAAACTAGATACTCTATCCTATATTACACGTTTGTCTTTGTTAAAATGATTTTAATTAAGTTAAATTTTACTCTATTTCTAAACTGGATAGTTAAATGGAAACTGATTTGGTACTTTCATTTTTTTTTAAAGGATCATTTTTTAATTTATCTTTTA